ATTAGAGAAAAAGGGGTAAAAAGGAATGAACAAAGTCTCCAAGAAATAAGCGACTATGTGAAAAGACCTAATCTACATTTCATAGGTGTACCAGAATGTGACGAAGAGAATGAATCCAAGCTGGAAAATACTCTTCAGGATATTATTCAGGAAAACTTCCCAACCTAGCAAGGCAGGCCAATATTCAAGTCCAGGAAATACAGAGAATGCCACAAAGATATTCCTCAAAAAGAGCAACCCCAAGGCACATAATCGTCAGATTCACCAGGGTTGAAATGAAGGAGAAAATGCTAAGGGCACCCAGAAAGAAAGGTTGGGTTACCCACAAAGGGAAGCAGATCTGTCAGTAGAAACTCTACAAGCCGGAAGAGAGTGGGGGCCAATATTCAACATCCTTAAAGAAAAGAACTTTCAACCCAGAATTTCATATCCACCCAAACTAAGCTTCATAAGTGAAAAAAATAAAATAAAATCCTTTACAAACAAGCAAGTACTCAGAGATTTTGTCACCACCAGGCTTGCTTTACAAGAGCTCCTGAAAGAGGCACTACACACAGAAAGGAACAATCAGTACCAGACACTCCAAAAACACACCAAATGGTAAAGAGCATCAATACAATGAAGAAACTGCATCAACTGACAGGCAAAACAGCCAGCTACCATCAAAATGGCAGTATCAAATTCACACATAACAATATTAACCCTAAATGTAAATGGACTAAATGCACCAATCAAAAGACACAGACTGGCAAATTGGATAAAAAGCCAAAACCCATCAGTGTGCTGTATCCAGGAAACCCATCTCACATGCAAGAATACACATAGGCTCAAAATAAAGGGATGGAGGAAGATTTACCAAGCAAATGGACAGCAAAAAAAAAGCAGGAGTTGCAATTCTTGTCTCTGATAAAATAGACTTTAAAGCAACAAAGATCAGAAGAGACAAAGAAGGACATTACATAATGGTAAAAGAATAAATGCAACAAGAACAGCTAACAATGCTAAATATATATTCACCCAATATAGAAGTACCCAGATACATAAGACAAGTTCTTAATGACTTACAAAGAGACCTAGACTCTCACACAATAATAGTGGGAGACTTTAACACCCCATTGTCAATATTAGACAGAACAACCCGACAGAAAATTAGCAAGGATATCCAGGACTTGAACACAGACCTGAACCAAGCAAACCTAACAGACATTTACAGAACTCTCCACCCCAAATCCACAGAATATACATTCTTCTCAGCACCACATCACACCTACTCTAAAAATGACCACATAATTGGAAGTAAATCACTCCTCAGCAAATGCAACAGAACAGAGATCATAACAAACAGTCTCTCAGACTACAGTGCAATCAAGTTAGAACTGAGAATTCAGAAACTAACTCAGAACTGCACAGCTTCAAGGAAACTGAACTGGCTCTTGAATGTTGACTAGATAATGAAATGAAGGCAGAAATAAAGGTGTTCTTTGAAACCAATGAGAACGCAGACACAACATACCAGAATCTCTGGGACACATTTAAAGCAGTATCTAGAGGAAAATTTATAGCAATAAATGCCCACATGAGATGCAAAGAAAGATCTAAAATTGACACCCTGTCATCAAAATTGAAAGAGCTAGAGAAGCAAGATCAAGAAAACTCAAAACCTAGCAGAAGACAAGAAATAACTAAGATCAGAGCAGAACTGAAGGAGACAGAGACACAAAAAAACACTTCAAAAAATCAATAAATCCAGGAGTTGGTTTTTCAAAAAGATCAACAAAATAGACCACTAGCCAGATTAATAAAAAAGAAAAGAGAATAATCAAATAGATGTGATAAAAAATGATAAAGGGGATATAACCACAGATTCCACAGAAATACAAACCATCATCGCAGATTATTACAAACAACTCTGTGCACATAAACTAGTAAACCTGGAAGAAATGGATAAATTCCTGCACACTTGCCTCTTCCCAAGCCTAAACCAGGAAGAAGTCAAAACCCTGAATAGACCAATAACAGGCTCTAAAGTTGAGGCAGCAATTAAAAGCGTACCACCCCCCAAAAAAAAAACCCAGGTCCACATCGATTCACAGCCAAATTCTACCAGACACACAAAGAGGAGCTCGTCCCATTCCTACTGAAACTATTCCAAATAATCCGAAAAGAGGGAATCCTTCCCAAATCATTTTATGAGACCAACATCATCCTGATAACAAAACCCGGCAGAGACTCAGCAAGAAAAGAAAACTTCAGGCCAATATCCACAATGAACATAGATGCACAAATCTTCAATAAAATACTGGTAAACCAATTGCAATAGCACGTCAAGAAGCTTATCCACCATGATCAAGTAGGCTTCATCCCGGGGATGCAAGAATGGTTCAACATACGCAAGTCTATAAATGTAATTCACCACATAAACAGAACCAAACACAAAAACCACATGATTATCTCAATTGATGCAGAGAAGGCCTGTGACAAAATTCAACAGCACTTTATGCTAAAAACCCTCAATAAACTAGGTATTGACAGAACGTATCTCAAAAATAATAAAAGCTATTTTGACAAACCAACAGCCAATATCATACTGAATGGGCAAAAACTGGAAGCATTCCCTTTAAAATCTCTCACTAGACAAGGAACCCCTCTCTCACCACTCCTATTCAATATAGTATTGGAAGTTCTAGCCAGAGCAATCAGGCAAGAAAAAGAAATAAAGCATACTGAAATAGGAAAGGAGGAAGTCAAACTGACTCTACTCGCAGACAACATGATAGCATATCTAGAAGACCCCATCATCTCAGACCAATCTCCTGAAACTGATAAGCAACTTCAGCCATCTCCTGAAACTGATAAGCAACTTCAGCAAAGTCTCAGCATACAAAATCAATGTGCGAACATCAGAAGAATTCCTATACACCAATAACAGACTTAAAGAGAGTCAAATCAAGAATGAACTAACATTCACAATTGCTACAAAGAGAATAAAATACCTAGGAATACAATTAACAAGAAACATAAAGGACCTCTTCAAGGAGAACTACAAACCACTGCTCAACGAAATAATAGAGGACACAAACAGATGGAGTATTCCATGTTCATGGTTAGGAAGAATCAATATCGTGAAAACGGCTATACCACCCAAAGTAATTTACAGAATCAACACTATCCCCATCAAGCTACCATTGACCTTCTTCACAGAACTGGAAAAAACTACCTTAAACTTTATATGGAAACAAAAGAGAGCCCGCATAGCCAAGTCCATGCTAAGCAAAAAGAACAAAGCGGGAGCCATCACGCTACCAGACTTTAAACCATACTATGAGGCTACAGTAATCAAAACAGCATGGTACTGGTATCAAAACAGAGGTATAGACCAATGGAACAGAACAGAGTCCTTGGAGGCAACACATCATATCTACAACCATCCAATCTTTGACAAACCTGACAAAACAAGCAACAGGGAAAGGAGTCCCTGTTTAATAAATGGTGTTGGGAAAACTGGCTAGCTATGTGCAGGAAGCAGAAACTGGACCGCTTCCTGACACCTTACACTAAAATTAACTCCAGATGGATTAAAAACTTAAACATAAGACCTAACACCATAAAAACCCTGGAAGAAAACCTAGGCAAAACCATTCAGGACATAGGCATACGCAAGGACTTCATGACCAAAACACCAAATGCATTGGCAGCAAAAGCCAAAATATACAAATGAGACCTAATCAAACTCCACAGCTTCTGCATGGCAAAAGAAACAGTCATTGGAGTGAATCGGCGACCAACAGAATGGGAAAAAGTTTTTGCAATCTACCCATCAGACAAAAAGCTGATATCCAGAATCTACAAATAACTAAAACAGATTTACAAGAAAAAAAACAAACAAGACCATTCAATAGTGGGCGAAGAATATGAACAGACACTTTACAAAAGAAGAAATCCATGGGGCCAACAAACATATAAAAAAATGCACATCATCACTGATCATTCAAGAAATGAAATCAAAACTACATTGAGACACCATCTCATGCCAGTTAGAATGGCAATCATTAAAATATCTGAAGACAAAAGATGCTAGAGAGGATGTGGTGAAATAGGAACACTTTTACACTGTTGGTGGGAGTGTAAATTAGTTCGACCATTGTGAAAGACAGTGTGGCAATTCCTCAAGGACCTAGAAATAGAAATTCCATTTGACCCAGCAATCCCATTACTGGGTATATATCCGAAGGATTATAAATCGTTCTACTATAAGGACACATGCACACAAATGTTCACTGCAGCACTGTTTACAATAGCAAAGACCTGGAATCAACCCAAATGCCCATCGATGATAGACTGGACTGGGAAAATGTGGCGCATATATACCATGGAATATTATGTAGCCATCAAAAATGATGAGTTTGTGTCCTTTGTAGGGACATGGATGAACCTGGAAACCATCATTCTCAGCAAACTGACACAACCGAAAATCAAACACCACATGTTCTCTGATAGGTGGGTGTTGAACAATGAGAACATATGGACACAGGGAGGGGAGCATCACACACCAGGGTCTGTCAGAGGAATAGGGGAAGGACAGCAGGAGGTGGGGAGTTGCGGAGAGATAGCATGGGGAGAAATGCCAGATATAGGTGATGGGGAGGAATGCAGCAAATCACACTGCCATGTGTGTACCTATGCAACAATCTTGCATGTTCTTCACATGTACCCCAAAACCTAAAGTGAAATTTAAAAAAAATTTTAAAAAAAGAGATGAGGAAAACTGGAGCCCTGAGGTCCAGGAGGCAGTGAGACACAACTAGCCCCAGGTAGGCTTCCTGTAAGTGGCCCTTCCTGTGATGTGAGTGCAGCTGAGTCCTTCCTTCATCAGGTGTCTGCATAAATTATAAATGGCATGAGAGAAGAGGAAAACTTACAAGGTGTCTAGGAAAGAGTATGGAACTAAAGAAGGCCAATTTTGTGAAGCCAAAAGCAAACAGACAGATGTATTCACTTACGTGGAAAAGTGAGTTGGCAAGGAAGCATTTCTTGTGAATTCATTTACCAGCACCATCTTCTCTAAATTTTGGCCTTTATGGTCCTCCAGGTCAACATCCTCTTCCAGGCTTCAAGCAAGGCATTGGTTTCAGCATCTGGGAAACCCAAGCATTCCTAACTGTCTCATGCATGTGCATGTGTATGATCTTATAAGGAGAAGGCTCCCAGTGTTCATCAGATCCCAAAGAACTCTATGAGCTGAGAAGGTCAAAAGCCCTGCTCCAGTCTGCCCCTGCCAAGAGCCAGGCATTGCTCTGCAGGAATGAAACTCCATTCAGATCCTGCCCATGGCCAACTGAAGCTCTTTCTGCCTCTTGAAAGCCCTGAAGCCACTTATTTTAAGACCATGGCCTGTAGTCTGGATCTTCAACTGCTGATTGCAATAGATTCAATGTCCCTTGACCAGGCAGTGTGCCAGGGAAGCTGCATTTCCTCCTCAAAGGCTGGCAGAAAAACTTAGGTACCAACTTACCAGAAAACATGAAGGGGCTAAAGTCAGCTTTCCCATTATAGTCATAGGCTCCCCCACACTGGTGGTGAATCCTCCGCACAGGCAAAAAACAGAAAGGCATAAAAATGAAGCACATCTCTTGGCCAGTGGTCTTGAAGTGTTCCTTCCATACCTGCCCAGCTCGGCCTGCCTGTGGGCACCCTATTCTTTCTGCAGAGGTTACTTGCAGCACAACTCAGCTGTTCCACTTGACTTCCACTCTCCACTTAGAGCCAAGTACCCTGTCTAACCCATGGTACACACAGGAATCCAAAATATCCCCTGCTGTGTGCTGATGCCACATGCAGCAGGAAGTGATCCCAAGGTTTCCTAAAATTAACTTACTGAGTTGCATGCAGCATTTCCTTCCTTTTATTTTTGTTTTGAAGGAGAATAGAATGGAATGGAATAGACAGACTAGACTAAAACATAACTGAGTCATTGCATGGTAATGACTACTTGAGACTTGTGTTTCAGTGTATATGGTGGGGTAGGGGGTGTCGTAATTTAAAATGTTGCCTCTCAGTCAGAAAAAAACTTGAAAAGATCAATCTCATGACATCCATGGAGCTTTCACATGAGGTCCAGGGGCTTCTGAAGGGCTGTGAAGTTGCAGAGAACACGAAAACAAAAGCAGTAGGGACGGAGGACCTCGATTCAGGTCCAGGATGTCCTGTGTCCTCAGTCAGAGCCCAGCATCCCTTTAAGCCTTTTTTCCAATTTGTAAAATGAGGATAATCAATCTCATTTTGCCTACATTGAAGGATTGATATACAGCTCAAATGGAACAGTATTTGCTAAATGTGGTGCACATCACAGGACAAGGCTTATGTAAGGCATTTTTGGAATTTTTGTTTATAGTGGGAAGTTTAAACCAAGAAAAGAAGAAATGGAAAACAGGTTGTTCAGGAGGTACAGGGGATGCAGAGGGTGCTATGACTTGAATGTGGCCACCAAAAATCATGTGCAATGGTGGTGGGAGGTAGGACCTAATGGGAGGAGCTGCATCATGAGGGCTCCACCCTCATGAACAGAGCCAGGCCTATTATTAAAAGGCCAGAGGTTGCAAGTTTGCCCTCTTGCGCTCTCTCACCCTCTCTTTGCCATTTTGGAATGAAATGAAGGAGCAAGAAGGCCCTCGTCAGATGCCAGTCCCTCACTCTTGGACTTCTCAGCCTCCAGAACTGTGAGAAGTAAATTTCTTTTCTTTATAAATTACTTACTCTGTGGTATTCTGTTATATCAACAAAAAACAGATCAAGACAGAGAGCGTTAAAGATAGACATTTACAGAACTCTCCACCCCAAATCCACAGAATATACATTCTTCTCAGCACCACATCACACCTACTCTAAAACTGACCACATAATTGGAAGTAAAGCACTCCTCAGCAAATGCAAAACAACTGAAATCATAACAAACAGTCTCTCAGACCATAGTGCAATCAAGTTAGAACTCAGAATTCAGAAACTAACTCAGAACTGCACAGCTTCATGGAAACTGAACAACTGGCTCTTGAATGTTGACTGGATAAACAATGAAATGAAGACAGAAATAAAGAAGTTTTTCAAAACCAACGAGAACAAAGACACAACATACCAGAATCTCTGGAACAGATTTAAAGCAGTCTCTAGAGGAAAATTTATAGCAATAAGTGTCCATATAAGAAGAGTAAAGAGATCCAAAATTGACACCCTATCATCAAAATTGAAAGAGCTAGAGAAGCAAGATCAAAAAAACTCAAAAACTAGCAGAAGACAAGAAATAACTAAAATCAGAGCAGAACTGAAGGAGATTGAGACACGAAAAACCCTTCAAAAAATCAATAAATCCAAGAACTGGTTTTTTTTTTAAAGATCAATAAAATAGACCACTAGCCAGACTGATAAAAAAGAAAAGAGAGAACAACCAAATAGATGCAATAAAAAACAATAAAGTAGAAATCACCACAGATTCCACAGAAATTCAAACCAACATCAGAGAATATTACAAACAACTCTATGCACATAAACTAGTAAACCTGGAAGAAATGGATAAATTCCTGGACACCTGTGTCCTCCCAAGCCTAAACCAGGAGGAAGCCAAAACTATGAATAGACCAATAACAAGGTCTGAAGTCGAGGCAGCAATTAAGAGCCTACCACATAAAAAAAGCCCAGGTCCAGATGGGTTCACAGCCGAATTCTACCAGACACACAAAGAGGAGCTGGTACCATTCCTTCTGAAACTATTCCAAAGAATTCAAAAAGAGGGAATCCTTCCCAATTCATTTTATGAGACCAACATCATCCTGATACCAAAACCTGGCAGAGACTCAACAAGAAAAGAAAACTTCAGGCCAATATCCATGATGAATATAGATGCAAAATCTTCAATAAAATACTGGCAAGCCGATTGCAACAGCACATCAAAAATTTATCCATCATGATCAAGTAGGATTCATCCCAGGGATGCAAGGCTGGTTCAACATACGCAAGTCTATAAACTTAATTCACCACATAAACAGAACCAAAAACAAAAACCACATGATTATCTCAATTGACGCAGAGAAGGCATTTGACAAAATTCAACAGCCCTTTATGCTAAAAACCCTCAATAAACTCAGTATCGATGGAATGTATCTCAAAGTAATAAAAGCTATTTACGACAAACCAACAGCCAATATCATACTGAATGGGCAAAAACTGGAAGCATTCCCTTTGAAATCTGGCACTAGACAAGGATGCCCTCTCTCACCACTCCTATTCAATATAGTAGTGGAAGTTCTAGCCAGAGCAATCAGGCAAGAAAAAGAAATAAAGGGTATTCAAATAGGAAAGGTGGAAGCCAAATTGTCTCTATTTGCAGATGACATGATAGATACCTAGAAGACCCCATCGCCTCAGTCCAAAAACTCCTGAAACTGATAAGCAACTTCAGCAAAGTCTCTGGATATAAAATCAATGTGCAAAAATCACAAGCATTCCTATACACCAATAACAGACTTAAAGAGAGCCAAATCAAGAACTAACTGCCATTCACAATTGCTACAAAAAGAATAAAATACCTAGGAATACAACTTACAAGGAACGTAAGGGGCCTCTTCAAGGAAAACTACAAACCACTGCTCAACGAAATAAGAGAGGATACAAACAGATGGAGAAACATTCCATGTTCATGGTTAGGAAGAATTAATATCATGAAAATGGCTATACTGCCCAAAGTAATTTACAGAATCAATGCCATCCCCATCAAGCTACCATTGACTTTCTTCACAGAACTGGAAAAAAACACCGTGAACTTCATATGGAACCAAAAGAAGCCCACATAGCCAAGTCAATTCTAAGCAAAAAGAACACAGCAGGGGGCATCAGACTACCGGACTTCAAACTATACTACAAGGCTACAGTAATCAAAACAGCATGGTACTGGTACCAAAACAGAGATATAGACCAATGGAACAGAACAGAGGCATCGAAGGCAACACAACATATCTACAACTATACAATCTTTGATAAACCTGACAAAAACAAGCAATGGGGAAAGGATTCCCTATTTAATAAATGGTGTTGGGAAAGCTGGCTAGCTATGTGCAGAAAGCAGAAACTGGACCCCTTCCTAACACCTTACACTAAAATTAACTCCAAATGGATTAAAGACTTAAACATAAGACCTGGCACCATAAAAACCCGAGAAGAAAATTTAGGCAAAACCATTCAGGACATAGGAGTAGGCAAGGACTTCATGATCAAAACACCAAAAGCATTGGCAACAAAAGCCAAAATAGACAAATGGGACCTAATCAAACTCCACAGCATCTGCATGGGAAAAGAAACAGTCACTAGAGTGAATCGCCAACCAACAGAATGGGAAAAAATTTTTGCAGTCTACCCATCTGACAAAGGGCTGATATCCAGAATTTACAAAGAACTAAAACAGATTTACAAAAAAAAAAAAAAAAAAAAAACAAGCCCATTTAAAAATGGGCAAAGGATAAGAACAGACACTTTACAAAAGAAGGCATACATGAGGCCAACAAACATATGAAAAAATGTTCATTGTCACTGGTCATTAGAGAGATGCAAATCAAAACCACATTGAGATACCATCTCACATTAAAAAATCTGGAGACAACAGATGCTGGAGAGGATGTGGAGAAATAGGAACACTTTTACACTGTTGGTAGGTGTATAAATTAGTTCAACCATTGTGGAAGACAGTGTGGCGATTCCTCAAGGCCTTAGAAATAGAAATTCCATTTGACCCAGCAATCCCATTACTGGGTATATATCCAAAGGACTATACATCATTCTACTATAAGGACACATGCACACGAATGTTCATTGCAGCACTGTTTACAATAGCAAAGACCTGGAACCAACCCAAATGCCCTTCGATGATTGACTGGATTGAAAAATGTGGCACATATACACCATGGAATATTATGCAGCAATCAAAAATCATGAGTTCATGTCGTTTGTAGGGACATGGATGTATCTGGAGAACATCATTCTCAGCAAACTGACACAAGAACAGAAAATGAAATACCACATATTCTCACTCATAGGTGGGTGATGAAAAATGAGAACACATGAACACAGGGAAGGGAGTACTACATACTGGGAT